TAATTGAAATCAGCTTTCTGCCGCGGCGCCGTTTTAAAGCGCCCTTCTGTTGCCGCGCTGTTGTCGCGGCGATGATGACGTTGCGGCTTTAGCGACACGCTTATGTCTCCGCGGATAAGGGCTTCGCGGTTTTGTCGTGCCACGCACTTAACCACGTGTGGCAAGAAAGGTTGTAAAATGGGGCAAAATTCACTGAGCAAATGTTTCAGTTAGCAACATATTTTGGGCTCTGTGGTCATAAGCCGAGGACTACTTGTATTGCACACATGTGCCTCTGAGAAAGTTGAGTGGACTCCGAACTTTGCGGTGGTGTTATTTAAACAAATGCACCAAGGACAGGGCTGCCCTTTGCCAAGACTCATGGAAGAGTCAACAGACAAGTTACGATATATCTAAACGGGTCCCAAATATTTGACAGTAATGGAAACATTTAAGGGCTCCAGCAAAACTAACTGGTCTTTTAAACCTACTTCATAGCCTTATTACTATGAACCTGTGTTTATTTCCATTGAGGAAAGATAGGAAATGGAGTTTTTAGTGGAACAGTTTAGTTACGGTAGTTTGATTGAAGACAAAAATGGCTGAAGTTAGATGCGCAAACTGCAACTTTTTAAAAACCAAATGTATAGTTTTATAGGAATGCCCAGCAGAGGGCATTTAGAGAGTTGGGGACAGGCGCCATGGCTACACAAGGGCCCTTGCAAGTGACTGGGCAGCTAATTGTCTTCGAATGTAAGGTCACTAAAGTCCTATTGATAGGCATTTTGTGTACACTTACTTGTGTAAGACAAGGAATTTGAATGAGTAACTAATGCATCTTTCCCCCCCATTTTTTTTTACAGAACGCTTCATTATGATAGGGCATAAACCATTGACATACATACTTTAAAAACTGAAGGTTTGATTGTCTGTGTATTGGAGTGGTCTCTGAGACTAGAGAGATAAGTCCACATAGCTGGGTTGAAATTTTTTTGGGCAAGTGATTTGGAAAGGCTGACTTGGGTCCTGGCTAGCCTTGTGCCTAAGGCATGATTAGAACTCAAGGCTCCCAGTTTTCAATCCAGTGCCTTTAACCGCGACACCAAACTGGCTCTTCAATTTGCATAAGCAACAGATGTTCCATGGGCCACCAAATAAACATTCTTCGTTGTGAACCTCTAGAATAAGGGAGTCAAACTTGCGGCCCGCGAGCCGGATGCATCACACACTGGCCACCGTGGCTTTTAGCAAAGGACAAAGTCGTGATACATCATGTGACGATGTGACACCGCGAGTTTGGCACACACCCCCCCCTGCTCTAGAACCATTTCACTATTAGCTTTCCCAGGCCAATCAAAGCAAGAACAGACTGGATTTGAGAAACTTGTGATCTTTAACAAAGAAGAGAGTTCCTAAAGTTAAGAGTGCAAGAGTTATAGGCTACTATGACAGCAGCCAGTTGTCCATGCGTATGTTGCTCTACTGTTTTGTAAAATCGTTAAAAAAATACAGCCCCAACTGTGAAGAATGAAGGACCTGGGTAATGGACCAGAGAAGAAAAACATCATTCCAAGATTTTGAGACTTGAACCTGTTTCATAATAAATACACTATATTGCCAAAAATATTCGCTCATCCAAATAATCAGAATCAGGTGTTCCGATCACTTCCATGGCCACAGGTGTATAAAATCAAGTACCTAGGCATGCAGACTGTTTTTACAAACATTTGAGAAAGAATGGGTCGCTCTCAGCTCAGTGAATTCCAGCATGGAAAACTGCGATAGGATGCCACCTGTGCAACAAATCCAGTCGTGAAATTTCCTCGCTCCTAAACGAA